CAGGGAGTCAAGTTAGGCGAATGAACGTTTTCGATTAGTCATCATCAGGCAACTACAATAATATAAGGGAGGGTAGAGTTAACAAAAGTTCAAGCACCCAATCAGTAGTAATTAGGGGAAGAGGGGGAAAGGTGATAAGGGATCAAAGGGGTCAGACTCTAGTCATAATTAGGGACCACAGCTGTGAAAGTATTCAGGAATTAAAGTTAGGCGAACAGACGTTTTCGATTATTCATCATCAGGCAACTACAATAGTATAAAAGAGGGTAGAGTTAACAAAATGTTAAGCAACCGATCAGCGATAAATAGGGGGAGAGGTATTAAGGGATCAAGCGGTCAGATTCTAGTCTGAGATAGGGTGCAGAGAGGAAAAGGGGGGAGGGGCTCCAACAATTAGTTCATGTTGTCCCGGAGCCTCTGTCTCACGTCTTGTTGCGAGGTTTCAGGGCGCAGTGTGTCACGGTCTCGCGACGGCGTGGGCGTGAAAAGCCTGGAGATGCATGCTGTCGTGTTTATCGTTTTGGATCCGTTTAGCATAACTACAAATTTCCTACTTGACGACACAATAGTTTACAGCTTAATGCAAAGTTATCCCTCGGTGAGCTGACATACCTTTGTGTGTCAGCTACAGCAGTTTTTTGTTTGTTTATTATTGTGTTGGTTCACCTTTGCCCTTTTTGTCAGATATAGATCTTGGTTAGGTTCCTTTTCTTTGTTAAATTCTTCTCAGAACAGGATTGTATTGTTTTGGATTTACAACTGCAATTGTTACACTGGAATTTCATTTTATTGCAGCTATATGAAACGAAGCGCACTTCGGCGTTCTGTCAACCCCCACTCACCCTACCCTGGCAGTGTATCTTCCTTTCTGAACAACTTGTTGACTGCGGACTGACGGCAATCCATAATTCGACTCACCGTATTATGTTCATGAACTATCGAAGACCGATATTGGCCCAGGATGACGACGAATTTCCACCTGCCCTATTCCGATGGGAGCCGCTTCTTGCGGACTATGCTAAGGTTGACTTTTCGCGCTATGTCAGTATGCTGAAATAACATGTAGCGCTTAACTGTGACTCAATACATTTAGGCAGTGCGTCGAAAAACGGCTTTAAGCAACCATGGCCGAAGCAGCTGATAGATGGTTAAAAATAAAAAAGTGTAACGAGAACTACCTGCAAAAAATATGCTTTTGCTAAGATCAATAGTTGCTTTTCTTTAAGTATTGTTGAGTTAAGCTTTAACCATATATTTTTTTCAGTAGGAACTATGTAGCTTTCGCG